GGGGGGGGGACACACCCCAAGAACTGGGTCACTGATGTTCAGAAACTTCATGTCCTCGGCTCTGCCCTCCACCTCTCCCAGGAAGACCACAGGGTGCCCACAGGGAGCTCCCAGCCACAGACACTCATACAGTCTCTAGGGTCCCGGCCAAGGCCGGGCAGACCCCTGCCGACCAAGATGTGGGGGTAAAGTCACAAGACAACCATGCCACTCACAGTCACCATGGCCGCAACCGTGTGCAGGGAGCCATACTCCAGGGATCAGCTTGCAGTGGGAAAATGTCGCATAGGAAGACACACCAAGAGGGCACTTGACAAACATTTATTGAGCACCTACTATGTGCGAGGCCCCTAAGCAGGGCCTTGGGAAAACAAAGTCAATGCAACCTAGTCCCTGCCCGGAAGGAGCTCACAGTCTACTGGGCCGGCCATCAATCACATCAATAGCAGCAAAGGTGCATTTAACTTCAGGAGTTTACAGCGAGCTTTTATACGTTTTTTTCAGTTGTAAACACCCAGCAACACAGCCACGTGGACTTAAAAGCACACTGGCATAAATGTAAACACAGTCACGAGATTGGAAGGGTGGGAAATCACCTGCAATAATTCACATTGGTGTTTCAAAGCCCGATTTTCAACACTACCGTTACCCCCTGTGAAGTCCGACGGAAGTTTTACCGATTTGCAGAAACAGTGGTGGAGATGCAGCGGGGGATTCTGTGGCCCACCTGACCTCATGCATCGGGGAAGCCACCTGGGACACAAGACGTTCTGAACCTCTGCCCGCTGCCTTTTTTCTACAACGTGCCATGCCACACCTGTGCCTTCTAATCCCTCCCAACCAGGCATTCCTCTCCCAAACTTGTCAAAGAAAAGGACCGCATCCCAGGAAGCAGCCACGCTGTGAGATCGCTCACGCCTGGTCCACGCGTGGGGTGACACCAGCTCGGAGGAGCACACAGCATATACCCAGGTCCTTCCTGGCTGGTCTCAAAAGCTGGCTGGGTCAGTGTTATAGGGGAACAAGGCCTCTAGAGTCCTATCGATGCCCTACCTCTCCCCCAATGCACAGTATTTATCAGGAGCAGAAAAGTAGTCTCTGTACAGAGGATAGACTGTCCCGTTCCTCCATTTGCTTCTGGATTCTAAATGTGACAGTGGGGTTTGGGGTCTGAGACAGAGCTCCCCAAGCTCCTTTTCAGAGCCCATGTCACCCAAGGGGAGAAAAACACCCCACATGGATTTGGCCTGTGATGCTGGTTTAGGAGGATAAGGAATCTGGTGAAGAAGCCCCAAATGGACCATCTCTTGTCCAGGGAATGGGGAAACCAGGCAGAGGAGAGAGTTTAATTAAGTCAACGAGAGGGCAGTTTGGAGCATCATGGGGCAGGGGAAGGGAGGCATCTCTCTCCCCTGCAGGCACAACCATTTCACTTTAGAAAGGTCAGGTTATGTCTCAGCTCCTAAGGTGTAAGCGCCACTGAGCCCCTCTCCGCACCTCCATAGGCTCTCTTAGAGGCTTACCAAGTGAGTCAGAAGGTACAAAATGTTAAAGGTGTTTCTGACCCCATCTCAAGGGCGGGGGGGGGGG